ATTGTACCTTGTCAGGACTTACAAAAAAGTCTCTTGGAGCCATGGTCTAAACCCCACAGGAAGTCGGCCATTTTAGATTGAAGTTCAGATTTTGACCTCATTTTTGCCGTTTACAGCCTCCGTATTTGATCGAACTCCTCCTAGGGATTTCGATTGATCGGCTTCAAACTCGGTCAGTCTGTTCATAAGGCATGTCCCATCTAAAGTTATCAAAACGGTGAGTTTTTGAGAATGCTGAAGGAGGGTTAGCAGGGTCAAAATTCACCTACTCGCCATAAACATAAACTGCTATATTTCCTACACAGAACTCACAGAGGCACCAAAGTTACTGTGATTGATCATCATCGGGTGTCCTACAATACCGTATGGTCGAATGATGACATCACTTAGGCCACGCCCCCTGAGAACAGGAAGTGTAATGTTTTACTGTGAAAGGTCGCTATCTGACCCCTTTGACCTCATCAACATGAAACTGTGCCCAGACAGAAGCCATGTTGGTGTTGAGGATTCTAATCCCCGACCAGCTACGATGGAGCAGGTGGGCGTGGCGGCGTGGCGAAGTGTGCTGTAACGCCATCGCCATACGTTTGGCTCTCAATTCCACATTTTTGGGCGCAACTGCTCCAACCTCACAAGGATGGATCTTCATCCACTCCCCGACAGGAATCCATCACAATATTTGTAGGGTGTGGCCCAATTTCTCTATAGCGCCCCCTAGAAAATTTAAAATGATCAGCCCCAAGCCATGCTTAACCTACAATTACGAAACTTTGTACACATGTGTACCATGTCAGGACTTACAAAAAGTCTCTTGGAGCCATGGTCTAAACCCCAGAGGAGTCGGCCATTTTAGATTGAAGTTCAGATTTTGATCCCATTTTTGGCGTTTATAAACCATTTCAGTAATTCGCCACTTGGGGTCAGTATTGCTCCACAAATGAAACAGCAGATAATCAGAATGAAGAACAATATCAGTATTTCGCCAGTAGGTGTCAGTTCCTCCTCCACCGATGATAAACAGATCCACGGGCGGATGGGCGTGAAACTTTGTGAGTGTTGCCATGACATTTCTAAAAGGATAGAAATGTCTCAGATAATTTTGTTGAATTAAATCATGCAGTAAATGTAGCGTTTTCTTACTTCTTACAAACCATTTCAGTAATTCGCCACTCTGAGTAAGTATTACTCCAACAATGAAATAGAGTGCTTTAGAAACACAGCTGAAAATGATGAAAAATGACGAACTGTAGTACTTCGCCATATGCATATGATCGGCTGTAAATGACACGTGGATCATCCGACTGACGACAAATTGGATACGTATGACCTTTGTTGACCTCTAAAGAGAACAACAGCATTGAAATATATTTGACTCCACTGCGCGTCATACATTAATCCGCCAGCTATATTTCCTCGCTAAAGCAATGAATCTATACCACATTTTTTGCATCGTCAAGGATAGCCGCCGAACGCATAGATGCGTACTGCCTGGTGGACGGGCGCGGAAACTGCGCAACAACTTCTGTCTTAGCACGTGCGCTTTGATGAAAACTGAGCAACAGCTTCCGCGGTGCGGGCGGAGGAGCTGAAAACTGCGTGAGAGCTTCTGTGGTGGCTGACGTGAGGCGGCGGTTCCTCGTACCCCGCGGTGGCAATAGGCCGGAGCGGCGCTTGGCTGCGAGGGCCGTTCGAGGCTGCTTGCAGCTTTAATGTGATTTTATTGTTTATTTGCTGGATGAAAATCAGATGATTATTTTATTTGAAAAATAATTATAGTATAGTTTGCATAGTTTTAGTTTTATTTTACTTTTGCTCTATTTTATTATTTTTTTGCTATTTGTGCAAAAAAATTTTCATGCATGTATTAATAAAAATCTGTTGCTTTGATAAAAATGTTTTTAATTTGCATCAAAAAGCAAAATTTATATTTTCATATTTATCTTGTTGCATTTACTGAACCTCAGTGGAAAAAAAATATTTATTTTTTGCTCCATTTTAAATTTTAAATGCTATAAAACTATATTAAAATTTTTCTCAGTCTGCTGCAAGAAAGGAGCGGTGCATTCACTGACCTTAGGAAACTCAGAGTTTGTGAGTTTCCCAGTTCTGATCTGGTTCTGGTCCGGTTCTGGTCCGGGATGCTTCAACGCTGGAATCAGTGAACCGGGTCGGCGCCAGCAGCAGAGATGTTTTGCTTCAGTTTATCTCAGATCCAAATCAGGAAACAAATTCTTCCTTTCAGAGTAACAGAACAGAAATCTGCTTCGTTTCTCTGATCCGTTTAAACTGCGTTTGTTCGAAATAACAGCAAAAACAAATTCTCACCTTCAGCAATAAATGTGAATTTTGAGCTAAAGTTTTAGTTACTCTAAATATTTAGCTATGAACTAAATATTTAATTAGCAGACTAAATATTTAGCCTCAAATTACATGTTTAGTTTGAATTGTTTTACATTTATAAATGAACGTAGAGCCTGGTGACCATTTGACTGATTTTTAATCCCCTTCTCTTATGGCATAAAAACACAAACCTGCTGACATGAAGACAGACTAAACCTTTTCTGTTGGAGGATCACATGATCCATGAGGCGCTCTTATTATGAAAATCCCTCAGATTCATTTCATTGCAACAGAAAATAACCCGGGGTCATGTGGAGACGCCTGGAGACACAAACATGTTCAGCGCCGGTCCAGAGACAGAGCGCCGTTTGTTCTGTTGCAGCGTCGTCCCGCTCCGTCCCGCTGGGGAATCTGACCTTGAACGCAGCATTTAATGATCCCATGTTCAGCTTACCTGCAGCTTCCAGCAACGTGATGCTGCAAAGCTAAACAGAGCTTTTAGTTAGCTAACCACATATGTACTTAGCAAGCTAAATAATTAGCTTTGAACTAATATTTTGTTTGTAAAGCTTACAAAAG